CTTCTCTTTTGAGAAGGACCTATACAAATCTCAGAAGAAGGCTGAAGCCAATTTCTTTTGCATTTATCTCAGTACTAACTTGTTTCACAACAAGTGGGTATATGGTTAAGCTTACAAAGTGACATTCCAACATACCTCCCAAAATATAAGCCCAACCCAAACAAATTTAACAGTAGAGGAACCTGAATACTGCCAGTACTAAGCTCCATTTACAAAAATTCATCTTTTTTTTTTAAATATTTATTTAAAAAAATTTAGAAAGGCACATAAATGTGTACAGCCATATACTCCAAAATCACTAACAAATCACTTTATGCTCCTGTATTGACCATCATCACAGTTTTATTTCTAGAGCATGTGGATCTCTTCCATGCTTCTCTACTATTCTTCCCTTCCCCCCAGTAGCTGTGGCAAACACTAAGATATCAAGTTCCCAATGTGTCCCATCTCACTTCCTTTACTCTTAGTGACCTATTCTACTTTAAGGAAGGATGCTAAGAGCTAAAAACCATGTCAATGCTCCTCTCCTTCAACTCCAAGCTTACTTTGTCCCTCACCAACTTAGAAAAGGTTTCTCAACTCTTCTTCACCACTTAATAACCCCCTCCTTCTCCCTAAGGCATGTTCCATCCTTTTTCTAAATCTACTAGCTTATTCTCCTCTGCTTACACTCAAGGCACCTAACCCTAAAATTTCTTCCCTCAATCCTGGTTCCCAGTCAAGTGACCACTTCTCATCTACTAAAAAACTTCTAAAAGTACAGTTTACACTAGTTGTCTTCTCATTCAAAACTCCCATTCATGACTTCTATACTATTTTACTTCCACCACTAAAATAAGCAATCTTCTTTTTTTTAAGATTTATTTATTTATGCATACAAGAGCTGGGGTACAGGCCAGAGATGCGGGGGGTGAGAGGATCCACGAGAGACAAAGTGCAGAACAGAACAGGCAGACTGACTGAAATATACTGTTGAGGGGAGCAGCGGGCAAGACAGGAAAGGTCTGCCTCGCCATGTGGGTTTCTCCCTGGCTGGCCAGGGATCGAACTCGTGCTGCAGAGGCTGTGGATTGCTTCATAGTGCGGTGCTTAACCCCCTGCGCCACCAGGGAGACTCAAGCAATATCTTTTTCATTGTCAAATCCAACCGCTTCTTTTCAATTTTCTTACGTTACATGCAAAGTAACTGTGTCCTTGCTTGGTTTGCATTGCATGCATTTCCTGTTTCTCCTATGTCTTTCCCAGTATTATCCTTCATTGTCTTCTTTTGGATCCCCATTCTCTGTCACCTATTCTTGTCTCTCAAAGATCTCCCGGGTCACATTACCCACTTTGGTGATTCAGTTTTGCTTGTATTTGATGACTCTCAAATCACCATCTTGAACCCCCACCTCCTGAGCCCACATCTGGTGTTTTGTTTCCACCCTCAAAAACTCCTAAATATCACAAAGACTTTAAAATTCAACGTAAAAACAAAACAAAAGGGGAAACGACAAATCTCTCTAATCAATCTTACACAACCTATCCAGAGCTTGGCACATAATAACAACCGTGACTAACTAGCTTCCAACAGAAATGAAATAAAGGCAGTACATGAACCATTGCCAAAGTTTTTGTATTTTTTAAGTTCCTCTATCAAGCAATCATTAGTTCTTTTGGTACAAAACTAAACTCTATCTTCCTATAAAAACCTATTCCACCTCTGTTTCATCCCTGTGTATGTAAAATAATAAAACCTTAGACTCATCTTCTTTAGATCTTGCATTCCTCACTTCCATATGGTGTATACCTTTGAAAATGTCTTTCAAGCTTATGCAACTTATTTTGAAAATAAGATGTGATAAAGCAAATGTAATGACTGATAATTACAAAATCTCGGTGGTAGGTATATGAATGTTCACTGTACAGTTCTTTTAGCATTTCTGTATGAAATTTTTATAATAAAATGTAGAGTGAGGGGGCCTCCTTGTGACGCAGGGGTTAAAGACCCAGTACTATCAAGCTATTGTTAGCCACTGTGACTTAAGTTTGATCCCAGGCCAGGGAGCAGACCCAGACGGTGAAGGTGAAGCAGACATCTCGTGTCGCACCCACTGCTCCCCTCAGCAGTGTATTTCAGTAGATCTGCCTGTTCTGCTTTCCACTTTGTCTCTGGTAAATCCTCTTACCTTCTCCCACCTCTGGCCTACACCCTAGTTCTTCTATGCATAAATAAATAAATCTTTAAAAAAATAAAATAAAATGTAGAGTGAAAAAAACCTGTCTACATTCAGACATTGTTCAAAGGCAGGCCCTTTTAACCTCTCATCTGAACTACTCTGGGTGCCTAACTGAATTGTTTATCTCCCAATTTCTTCCCATTGTAATCATTCTCCAAGATTGTTCCCAATGATCTCTCCTTTCTGGTATTCACACCCCTGTGAATACCTTCACCTTGTGCCAGCATTGATCTCTGACCAACAATGTAGGGCAGAAGTGATGGTGTGTCACCTCCAAGATTACCTGTAAGAGACTAAGGCTTCTGTCTCAGCATGTTCTCTTGGATGACTTGTTCTGGGGCAATGTTTAAATCACTCAGGGATCTTATTAAAATGCACATTCTGATTTAGTAGATCTTGGGCAAATCCTGAGATACAACATTTCTAATTACTCCGAGGTGATGCAGATGCTGCTAATTCAGAGATTAAACCACAGTACTGCAAGTAAAGCTAACTAAATAAGGAAAGAAAACAAAAACAGAAAGAGGTGCATTTCCATCTTGCTATATTTAAATGTTACTATAAAGTCAAGTCCTTGTAATTCAGTGCAACATCATTTCAATATCTATGGAGCAGCGCTTCTCAAGATGAATGTGCAAATAGATCACCTGGGGATTTTATTACATTGCAGCAGTAAAAAACAAAAACAAATAAACTTCTGAAACATTCCAGCTTTATCTCCAACTACTCTATTCTGAAATAAATAGCAATAAGTAAGAAACAGAAGAATCTTAGTTTACAGCCTCCAAGCAACATTGAAGGTTCTGGTTCATAGAGCACTCTTTTTAAGTAGCAAAGCTTTAATAGGTTCTTATACCCTTTTTTCCCCCTTAAGTTTGTCAGAATTCGTTATATACAATGTAAAACATATGACAAGCAACACATTAGGGGAAAAAAATGCAACATCTATGACAACATGCATATCTTTTGTATTAGTTTTCTATTGTTGCAAAAGAAATTACTTTTGCAAAAGACCTATACTTCTTAGGTCTCAGAGTCAACCTAGAAGCCAAACTCTAAATGGTTTACAGATGCCAATTACACATTTCAGCTTTATCTCCAACTACTCTATTACCATCACTCACCCCAAGTGCATACCTATACTCCAACCATAACTGACAACTCCCTAAAATCTTAATTTCTGTATCCTCATCCTGAAAACACTTATATCAAGCATATCATCACCCTACCAAGGGATTAAAGGATCATAGCCTACCATTGCACATGTAGACAGAGAAAACACGAACTTTTCCCCACAATTAACCTCTCACTATCATGTTTTTTCTCATACAATTTTTTAAAGATATAATTAATATACCATAAAACCTACTCTTTCAAAGTGTACACTTCAGTGGTTTTTGGTATATTCAAAGCTGTGCAATCATCATCATTATATAATTCCAGAACGTTATCATCACTCCCAAAAGAAATCCCATACCCTTATCTATCACTCCCACGGTCCTCAATCCCCCAGGCCCTGGCAAACACCAATCTGTCTCTGCAGGTTTGCCTCTTCTGGATATTTCATATAAATGAATACGTGGCCTTTGTGACTGGCTTCTTTCATATAGCATAGTGTTTTCACAATTCATCCACACTGTAGACTCTGTCAGTACATTTCCTCCCATGGCTAAATAATTTCATTATATGGATACATTCTATTTTATTCATTCATCAGTGGATTATTTCCACCTTTTGGCTATTATGAATAGCCAAACATGTAAAATTTTTTTATTTGGACATATGTTTTCAGATCTCTTGGGTATCTACCTAGAAGCTGACTTGCTGAGTAACATGCTAACTCTATCCTTAATATTTGGAGGAACTGCCAAATTCTTTTCCAAAGCACTGAACCATCTTACATTCCTACCAGCAATGTATGAGAATGTCAGAACTACATTTTCAACCAATGAGGATGGTGCTATCATTCCTGAACCAAAAGAGAAGTGTGCCCCCACCGTAAAGGGATAATTCTCTACGAAGAATACTGGACTAACAAAACATAAGTCTATTTCCGGCAGGCGTACAAGAGTAAAAAGTATTTTAAGTCCTAGTATATTGAGCTAGTGAGCTAACCTCTCAGAGCCAACGGTACTTTAATCGTAAAATCTGGACGATGTAATGGCATTTCCGTTGCAGTCCTCGTGAAGATTAAATAAAAGAATCCACGTAAAGGTGCTTCCCAATACTGATTCTCCAACATCCAATCCCCGACAAAACATCAGGGGGCAAAGGGCTAGATGCCCACATCACCCCCGCTCCTTCCCGCTCCTTCTGGGCGGGAGGGGTTGCTGAGTGATGCGGGGGGTGCAGCCACCTCCCTTCTCCCGGAGAGCCCGCCTGACGAGCCACGCAGGATAAATTGGTAGAGCTCGGAGGCAGAGCCGGGTCACTCCAGCCCAACATCGTTCCCAGGCGAGAGATTCCGCAGCCTGCCCCTAAGCCTGGCAAGCCTGCGTAGGAACATGTTTTTTTTCTTGTTTAATGGTAATGAACATATTTATTAGGGTCGAAGCAGAAAAGGAGGAGCAAAGAGAACACAAGCATTTACCACCCCCCCCACCCCCCAAACAGGATCCCGCTGTTGGACTCTCAATACCTCATAAGGAAAACAAATACAGTCTGCAACCCGATCCATCACGAACCCTGGGGGTTTACCAAACCCAGGGCCCTCCCGCCCCCGCCCCCACCCCGGCAAGGCGGGGTCAGAGACCCCCCAGAGGCAGAAGGTGAAAAGCTTACCTGGTGGGCTCCTCCAGCTCGGGCCGGTTCGGACCACGCGCCTCCAGAGCTGTAGTAACCATCACCTCCTCCGCCTTCCCCCGGCCAGGCGGTCTCGGCAGGGCCGCCCCCGCGCACCCGCCAGGAAATGGGCGGCTGGGGAGGTTCTGGGCGAGTAGAATATAAGGGCGGAGGTGGGTGCACCGGCACATCTCCACCACCAGGCCCATAATAGCGGCCGTAAGAGGGGCCGTCACTGGGGCCGTAGCCCGAGCGCCTCAAGGCCGACATGGGCTCCTCTGCCCCTAAGCGCTTCCCGCCCCCCAGGGCCGGCCCATTGCGCAGGCGCCTGCCGCCGACCGCGAATGGGCGACAGTGAAGGGGGTCGGCCGACGGCAGCCAATCCCGAGCCGCGCCCGCCTCTACGGCCGCCGAGCGCTGAATGGGGAGACGGAAGTCCGCGACTCTGGGGTGTAGGAAAGCGGAAGACGAGAGGTGCCCTCCTGTGTCTTAAAGAGGTGAACAGATCTCCCCACCATCTCGCCGGTCTAGATTACCTACTGTCAGGGATCGAGGAAAGGGTATTCCGCGACGGCGCGCCGACCCCGCCCCTTCCTGGGGATGGGCGCAGATGCCGGAAGTGGGAGGGGCTAACATGGAGGCGCTTCCGGCTTGCCCCGGCGGCTGAAAGCCGGGGCAGAGTTGCTGGTCCGGGTTGGGTTCCCGTCCCGGTCCCGCCAGGGCGGCGACTGCGGTAGGAAGGAGGGGGTGTTGGGCGCACTGGCGCACCGCCACTGTACTTTTCAGCCTTACCTTAGCTCAAAATGAACTATATGCCTGGTACCGCCAGCCTCATCGAGGACATCGACAGTGAGTAGTAGCTCATCTCCCCCGGGCCAAGTCCCGAGGGAGACCCTTTCTCCGGGGTGGGTGCCTCTTCGGAGGGAGCTCGTTGAGTAAGTCTTGAGGCCCAGCGGGCGGTGTGATTTTAGCCCAGTTCGGGGCGTTTGGCATTGACATCCTCCAGGGGACGGAGAAGCCAGGGGACCCACCGTTTCCCCACCCCCTGGTCCACTGCTCCTCGCAGCCTCCGCCTGTCCCCCGACTGGTGAGCCAGACTGCAGGGTTCGTTCCTGCTTCCGAGGAACAGGGCTGCTGAGGCCCAAACGCGAAAGTTGCCCAGCGGACTTCTCTTCAGTCCACTCTCCACCTGCAACGTTTCGGAGTACCAGATTGTTACTTAGAGAAAGGTTTGAGGAAACGAAAGTATTCAGACGAAAGCAGTTGAACTTAATTGGCAAATGTGGCCATTTGCAATGTTCATTCACCCTTGATCAAGTCTTTAGCACTTTCAGGTTTTGGTGATAGAGACTACTGCCAGACGAAGTATGGACTTTTCTGGAAAAGCTGAACTTCAAACTTATTTTTTTCCTGTTAGACAGTTTTCTTTTGCTTTTACTAAGACGATCTCCCTTATTCCTAGTCATTTTCCTGAACAGTTCAGTCCTGTACAAAAGAGTAGCGACTTAAAATTTCCTTGTCTTTCATTTTTTTAAATTCGGTAAATTACTCCTCAAGCAGCATTTTTTAATCTGTGATCTGTCTCATTAAACTTGTAATTGCTGCAAAATGATTTACACACAGTTCCTAACGAGGTTCAACTATCTCTACAGTTTTGCATGCAAATTTAGAGTGAGTCTATGGATTGAATACTCTTTATAGCTATCAAGAAGTTATTTTTTTAATCCAAATTTGTATTTTGCTGCTGAAGGGAAATTTAATGGAAAATAGGGCCAAATTCATATATGAGCAACCACTGTGTTCTGAAATCTTTGGTTTTGGTTGTTTAAGGATGCCCTTTACCCCCACCTCCTATTATGTATCTGAGTTATAAGACCTCTTAACACATGGTAACATTTTACTCAAAGTAATTTTTGTCCTCAGACCTTCTTTGTAGATTGTAGCACCTCTCCTCTACTGAAAAGTTTGAAGCCCTTCACTGCCACATACACACATTTTCTGTAGCCATTCTTTCTGTATTTTCATTCATTTTCATTTGAGTAGAAAGTATTCTTTTCTGTTTGTATCTTGAATTGCTTTTTTCTTCCCAATGCTTCTGGAACTTTTCATCAATATTTTTCCCTCTCCAATCTTATACGCGCCCCCCCCCCCCATCATTCCCTACATGATGTTCTTGTCTGTCCATCTCACATTTTTTCCCAATGTTGCCTCATCAAATTCCCAACCTTTTTTTCCCTAACTTTACTCCCAAACCTGTTATCTCCACTTTGACTCTACTTCCTGACCACCAAAATAGAGCACCTCTATTACAACTGCAATCTGATTTTTTGTTACTAGTGCTTTACTGTCGCTGAATTGAAAAGGCATCCGGCTCATACATTCTTGAGTTCTTCTCTCTGGCAGCATTGTGATACTGTTGCCACTGAATTCTTAATTCTATTCTCTTAAATTCTCTAACACTTCATGATGATTTTCTTGCGTCTCCAACTCTGACTGTTCCCCTACAGTAGTCTCTTGAATGCCATGTTCAGCATGCTTCTTTTTTTTTTTTTTTTAAAGATTTATTTATTTATTTATTTATTTATTTATACAAGCACTGGGTACCATCAGAAGCACTGGAGGGTGAGAGAATTCACCAGAGCCAGAGCGGGGAGCAGAGCAGGGAGAAGGACCGAAGTACACTGCTGAGGGGAGCAGCGGGCGGCAGGAGAGGTCTGCGTGCCATGTGGGACCCTCCTCCGGTGGCCGGGGAGCATCAGGGGATTGAACCGGCGCTGCAGAGGCTGCAGGCAGCTTCGCAACCCAGTGCTCAACCGCTGCGCCACCCAGGAGACCCATGCTTCTTTTTTTTAAATCTCTGGGAGAAGTCTTGGGTTTTAATAATTATATCACCTGTATAGATTTATCCAGAATTCCTCTAATTCTGACCTCTTTGACATTTCCAACTCTGCCTATTGACATTTCCCCAGAGGTGTCCTGATAGCACTTCATAATCACAAACAGCTAATAGCTTTTCACGTGAGCTTAATTCTTTGATCCCCACTTTTGGGAGATGGTCTCCCTGACATGACTCAGATTCCTAAATCTTTAACTCATCTTTCCAGCACCCCATTCTCTCACACATACCCACATATACAAACTCAGCTGACAAATCCCATCACTTATAAAAGCACAGTCTTAGTCCTGTCGTTTTCTCTTTTCCCATCTCTACTTGGTTCAGGTCTCTTTTTCATGTCTCAGACTCCCAGAATAGTTTCATAACTCTCTCCCTATTCAGCTAGTTTAATCTTCAGTTTCCTGTGAAGTGAAATCCATACTCAAACTGCAGATACTTTTCTTACTTCATCTCCTATTATTTCTCTTCATACCCTTGACTTTTACACAAATACATACCCCTTTTTTTCCCTGCCCAAATGACGCTTTCCCTCCTCCTCCTCTCTCATCATAGCCAAAAAATATCTTTCAAGGGGCCTCCTCCAGCTAGATATAGTTACCTCAGTCTCATATAATTAAGAATTGTTTTCTTGTGGCACTTACAGCACAAGGAAGATTTTCCTTTGGGAAAGAAGCACTGCCTGGTTCTTCTGTTCTGCATCTAAAAGTGCTTAATGCATGACCTTAAATGAATGAGCAGATATCCTGGCTTTTCTAATGACTGGCTTAATCTCTTTGGTGTCAGCTTAGAGACACCTCTTGAGAGAGGTTTACCCTAGCTACCCTCTCTCCTGGAGCTACTTCCCATCCCTATTGATACTATCCTGCTATCTTGTATACTATTCCAATCTGTTTATCCCAAGAGGTATTTTTTGTTTCTTTGTCTTCCTCTACCAGAAATGCAAATTCATAAGGTTGGTGACTTTGTGTCTTATTCCCTACTGTATATCTGTACACCAGAACAGCATGTAACTCTCAATAAATATTGTTGAATTATTGCTCTTGCTTATCAGCATCTTCAGTTTAAATGTCTGAGCCACTGTTTTTATTTATTTATTTATTTATTTATTTATTTATTTTAGAGGCACGTATGTTATTTATTTATTTGTTTGTTTGTTTGTTTATACATGCACTGGGTACAGTCAGAAGCGCGGGAGGGTGAGAGAATTCACCAGAGCCAGAGCGGGGAGCAGAACAGGCAGAAGGACGGAAGTACACTGCTGAGGGGAGCAGCGGGCGGCAGGAGAGGTCTGCGTGCCATGTGGGACCCTCCTCCGGTGGCAGGGGAGCAGCCGGGGATCGAACCGGCGCCGCAGAGGCCGCGGGCAGCTTCGCAACCCAGCGCTCAACCGCTGCGCCACCGGGGAGGCCCCACTGTTTTTATTTAAAACCTATGATTTCAAATAAAGTGTGAACTGGAAATTCTTTCATATAATACAATTTTAGAATATAATTCTAGAATTAAGATCAGAAACGTTATAGCTAGACCAGATTTCTCAATTTGCACATATACACACTAATATGGGAAAAGGGGTGTTTATGAAACATCAGTGTGTAGGCCAGCCAGTCCTTTCCCTCTCTGCCATGTTACTTTGATTCTTTTCAGCACTGATTTTCTATTTAAAAAAAAGGCGTGGGCGGGCTGCCTTGGTCTTCGCACCATTTTCTCAATGTACTCCACCTTAAATGCATTGGAAGAGAAAGTGATATTAAACTGCTCTTAACTTTGTTTTTACTGTGTAAACTCACTGAAGCTAACAGTTTTTTTTTTTAAAAAAAGATCGTCTTTCCTCTCCCCAGAAAAGCACTTGGTTCTGCTTCGAGATGGAAGGACACTTATAGGCTTTTTAAGAAGCATTGATCAATTTGGTATGTATTACTTACAAACTTCTCTTATACTCTAGATAGTAAGAGTTGACCTCTGTACTTTTGTGTTATTTCATTTTGAAATTTATTTGTAGCTTTTCTACTGTTGTCTGGCATAAAGGAACACTAATTTGAATCATTAACATCATTGTTTTCTAATAGAAATTAAGGTTAGTTGGTTTGAAAACTTGTATTTACAAGCTCATATTTCTAAAACTGGTTTTCACTAAAACATGATTAAAATGTTTTGGACTATTTTTTAATTTTCCCCATTAGAGGGAGCCAGACAATAGAAATAAGCTCATTTCACTGAAAAGCTGCTCATTTGCACATTGACTATTCTTCAAAGCAGTTTCTGCACTGATGGTAATCCGTCCCTGACCAGTGCAGATTAGGTAGGAGACATTTTGTGACGCTCCAGATTTTAAACTTCGGAACATCGGACTCGAGTCCCAGTCTTTTGTTTTGTATCTTGCATTTTTCTACTATTTCAAGCAACTTCGCATCAACATTTGTTGAACATCTTCTAGATCAGTGGATTTGGGCATTAGGAAAAACAACATAATTGACACACTTGTAAGAATTCCAGAAAGAAGAAAGCATAGATAACTGCTTTTCTTCAAATAGAATCAGTAGTACCAATTGAAAGAAGAAAAATAATCTTAAACAGCTTGTGTTTCTAAACCTTAAGTCAAATTCATTGGAGTACTTTCAAGGGTAAATACTGACTTTA